ATCCAAATAATTTGAAATTTTAGGCATCCATTCTTCTCATCAAGGCGCACCTAATAAAAATATTTAAAAAATAATTAACAAAAAATAAATTGACCAAAATACCCCTAGGAGTTTTTCTGTTGGTTATTTTATTTTGTGTAAATTATTTTTTTGATATTTTTATTAAATTATCCTATTTTTTAAGAACACACGCCTAAAATTTTAAGTTATTTAGATTAGTAAAAAAAAAATTTAAAATTAAAATACAAAATGAGGTGGTGACTGTCAGATTAGCCTAGATTCAATCTAGGGCATTGGATTCATATGAACTCATATGTAGCGCAATGATTTCATGTAACAATTGCATAGTAATATGATGCAACAACCTTCAAAAACCATGTTATGGTCATTTATTTAATCCAAATTTTGAAATATACACTCTTTTTCATTCTAATGAACAATTATAAAAGAGAAAAAAATTGAAAAACACAACCTAGAAAATAGTTTTTTAGCCCAATTAACATAAGCTGTTCATTTTGGTGACATGCTTAGATTTAAGTCTTAGAAGGATTTTTTCATTTCCAATTTTTTTGGTTGGTTTTATTATCATTAGATAAACAATGTTAAAAAAAAAAATTTTATTTTGAGTTTATAAAGGCCTAGATCTTGAAATTCACTAAATAAGTGGTCTAGATTCGTTTTTGGAGGGGACATATTTTGACCATATCTAGGGTTCCAATTGAACTTTTTTTTTTTGGATTGATTATTGAGATGAAGAGAGTGTGTGCACAAAATTTTGGGTCATAGAAATACCACAAACAAGGTTTTATAGAAGTGTCGTTGCTTTATACTACGATACAATTGTTGCATTACATTATTGCTTGTTTATATATATATATAAAAAGTCTTCTCAACGCCTATAGGCGAAAATAAATAGTGAATTCGCCTATCTTCTTCACCGTCCAAATTTTATCACGTGGTCACGATTGTCCGGTAGTTTTTTATTTCTCATTTTTTTTTACAAATATGAATGACTTGAAATTTCGAGGATATGTACCTCTTACAGTGAAGGGGTGCAATACTAATCATCACTGTGCGTACTATTATCGTGTTATAGGACGCATAAACAAAAAATTATTACATTCCATCCCTCGTGGACCACCTCATGAGATGCTACGTGCAGCACAATAGAAGTCATGCTTTATATAATATTAGCGAAATGCTCGGCTTCGCACCGGTTTATTAGAAGCATGTGAAATATAAAAAATAGTTAAAATTTTCTAAAAGCATGTAAGAAATCAAGGCTGTGCTTTCCAAAATTTCATAGCAAGATGTCACTATTAAGGAGTAAACTACAATTATCATGTATAAATTCAAATGTCATGCTTCCTAAAATCAGATATGTAGATGTTCCATAAGCAGGCATAAAAAAAAAAACAAATGAATTAAGAGCAAGAAAATAATTTTTTAAAATAAATTATCATGTAATCTTAGATTTCTAATTTAAAAAAAATTAAAGAAACCTTAATTTCAAGTTTTTGGCAATCGAAATTAAAAAATGAAGCATTATTTCATTTTCTAAAAATAAAGTAATTCTTAAATTTCAAATTTTTTTTAAATGTCCAAAGTTTTAAAAAAATTATAAAATCTCAACATAGAGTGAGACCTATGAATCTTTGTTTATGTATATAATCACCTTACTTTGAATGGCAAATATGTACAAACCCAAAAGAGTACCTATAGAATGACTATTTTTTGAGCGTGTGTATAAGAATTTTCAAAGTGATTTTCTTAAATTAAGAAGGAAAATTGGAAAACCTCATTGAATAAAAACTTAAATCCTAAAAGATAACCTCACAAAATGTTTAAAATATTTAATTTTTATGCTTGGACAATTAGTATCTCGTAAATTTTCAAATTTTATAACTTCTCAAATTTTATTCTTTTAACTTCTGAAAGAATCTTAAAAAGTAAATCATTCTAATAAATTAGGACTCAAAAAATAAATTACTTAAATAACTTATTCACTACAAATATTAAATTTTCATTACAATTACATCATAAATTAAAAGATGCATAAGGTTGTACGGTTCTTAAAAGCATAAAATAAATGTAAACAATTATTCAAAGTAGCCGGTATATAAAATCTTACCAACCTTAGTACATGTAAAATAGGGCAAGATTAAGACCAAGTAAGGAAATGTCAAGATGTTCTTCTGCTTAAACTTATAAATGAAAAAGACCAAACAAAATAAATTAAAAGACACATAAGGAAAACGAAAAAATTAAGGATCTCATAAAAGTGGACAAAGCCATGAGATGCCATGTACCACACAAAATAAGTCATGTTTTAAATTGACGAATTTCCCTCTTTTTTCAACACTTTTGGATGTTCAACATTTGAAAATTTGCATTTTAAGATCCTCAAAATTTTTGAATTTTGAAATTCTAAAATTTATTTAAAAATTAACGTGTAGGAATTTAACTATCTAAAAATTGTGAAAAAAATTCTAGTGTCCCAGCAATTTTATTTGCCAAAAAAAAATGTCACAACAATTTTATATTTTGAAATCCTGAAATTTGAATGAAAATTTCATTTTTGGATTTTAAAAGTCAAATCTTTTTAAAAATAATGTGCCAACAACTATATTTACCCCAAAAAATATCTCAACAATTTTAGAGAAAGTATAAAATTTATTTGAAAATTGAATTTTCATATTTTAAAAATCAAAAAATTTCATTTTAGCATCCTGAACATTTTCAAATTTTAAAAAATAAATTTTGCTGTAATATTAATATTTAGATTTCTAAAAGGAAAAAATTACATTTTCCTGCTGGATCATGTATGTTTGTTAAATTGAATATTGAAAATTCAAAAATTTAATAGGGGAAATTTTTTTAAAAAAATCCAAACTACCCTTCAAAAATAAAAAATACTTAATTTCGAACTTTGAAGGTCTAAATTTTGTTTTATTAATTACATGTATTGAAGAACCAAAATATGGGGTGGATAAATTATTACTCTAATTTTTACTAAATTTTCCAATTAGTTTGGCTTGTCTCACACAGTTGAGATAACAATAAGGGAAAGCATAACTAATAAAAATGTAGGAGTCTTTTACTTGCCTTGATGAAATCTCTCTCTTGATGGTTTGTATCTACATGCCTGCTCTTATTATTTCTATTATAAGTATTTCTGTGCGATTGTCTTTTTCTGGAGCAATAGGAAGGCAGAAAGTGTGGATGTTCTCAAAAAAGAATAACTACGTATCAGAGCAATGAAAACCCTGGACCAAAACAAATAACTTTCACCATCCTACGTTCTAATCTCACACCCTCTGAGCGTCACACCGTTACTCAAGCGTTACACCCGCACCATTACCCCAAAAAAGAGATATAACTTTTACCCCATATTTTCCCAAACACAAATACCTCAAAAAAAAAATAACCGATTTAATCCTGCATGGATATCTTTATTAAGCGCCACATGTGTACAAATCAACTGGTGCTTTATATAGTTGGAGATTAAGGAGTTGTATCTTTTCAAATATTGAGAAAGAAAAACTTGTAAGTCAAAAAGATAAATATAAAATAAAATAAAATAAAAATAACAATAAGCGATTGTAGGAGTAAAAAAATAAAAAAATAAAATAAGAAGAGAAAGTGGGAAGCTACGTCACTTTAAAATGTGAAAGTTTTAACGAGATGTCACTTTTTTAAATTTTGAAAGAGGACACATGTCAAAACATTTAGTAGATATTCATAACGACCAAATGTAAAAGAGATCGAAATGACACGTGAGATAAAAATTGGGGAGGTCATTTCTTGCTTAAAATATAGAAAATATGTAATAATAATAAAGATTACACCAAACTACAAATGACACTGCCCACACAAAACATGCAACAAGGCGATGCTGCTTCATACAACACACAGTTGGAAGCGAAGTAGTAAACTTACAGTGCTCAAACTAAGCCTGAAGTGGCCTCTCCTTTATGGTGACCTTGAGCCCATTCTTGTTTAAGAGGATCACTGAAGTTTTAGGGCTTACATTTTGGCCCTCCACCACCACCACTTGGAAATTGGCAAGTATGGTGGCCACAGCTATCTTCATCTGAGTGAAGGCCATGTCCTGCCCTAAGCAACTCCTTGGCCCTGCATTGAAGCTCATGAACTTGAATTCTAGGTCAGGCTTCAGCTCCCCACCTTCTCCAATCCATCTCTCAGGCCTAAATTCTCTACAGTCCTTCCCCCATATCCACTCCATCCTCGCCATTGAATATATCGAATAAAAGATCTTTGTGCCGGCCTTCACCATCGTCCCATCAGGAAGAATGTCGTTGTGCACAGCGGCCTTTTGATCTATCGGAACTGGTGGATACAATCTCAATGTCTCGTACAGCGCTGCGTGGAGATACACGAGCCGGTGTAGATCTTCGAGGGGGATGCTTGTCCTCCCACCGAGCACATTCCGCAATTCTTCTAAGATCTTGGCCTCAGTGTGGGGGTTCTCAAAGATTAGCCAAAAGAACCAGGAGAGAGCCACACCAGACGCGTCCCTCCCGGCGAAGAGGAAATTCACCATGGTGTCCCGCAGGAAAGTATTGGACAGGGACCTGTTGGAACTCATGTAACTCGTCATCAGATCTTCACTGCTTCCCTTGCTTTCGAGCTCAGATTTTGTGATCGCAATCTGTTCCTTCACAAATTCATCGATGACGTGCCGGGCATGCAACATCCTCTTCTCCCATCCGATTTCCAGTCTCTTCATCAGCTTCCACCAGCTGCGAGGCACGACGTGCCGGAAAAATATGGCCTCTAACCCATCATCGATGGCCTTACTGAACGGGATGACAGGGAGGCCAGGGGAAAGGCAGCCGGCTTTCCTTCCTAGAATCGAGGTGCACGTGCTATCAAATGTGAGTCTGATTAACAAGTCCTGCAAGTCCACCTGTGAGCCTTGCCGTGCCGCCCGGCCCAGCAATGGCAACAAGCCCGAATCTGTAAGATCTTGAGTTGTGGTTGCAAGAAAGGTCCTGAAGTCTTTAGATTGAACGTGAGCATGGGACATTTTGCGCTGGATCCTCCACGACTCCGACTCAGCAACAAAGATGCCATCTCCGAAAACATCATCGAAGATCTCTTTGAAGTCCTTGCCCTTGCCATAGTTGGAGAAGTTGGTCTTGACAATGTGTTTTATGTTCTTAGGGTCACAAGTGAGTATGAACTCAAAGTTGGTCAGTGCAGGGCCCAAGAAGGAGAAGGTGCCATGTGCTCGGTTCAGGGCTCGGGTCAGATACTCGAAGATGCAGTGCGCGTTGATGGCGAGGGAGGGGAGCATGCCAAGCAGGGGCCATGAGACAATGGGTTTGTTCCTTTGGTTGATGTAATGCATGAAGAGGAAGCAAATGGTGGCGAGGAGGAGTTCAGGCCAATTTGGAATTGGAAGGTCCATGGAGTTAGAGAATTGAAGGCTTCTCAAACTGGGACGTGAAGATTTATACGACAAGTACAGGATGGGAAAACCACCTACAATGTTAGATCATGACCACCAGTAAACCAGAAGAGAGAGGGAAGGACCACTAGAATTGGCGTGGTTATTCATTACTATTTCCCTTCCATTCACTCGCTTCATTTTCCCTTTGTTTCAACTTTCAACTTTCAAGCAATGCTTTATTTAAAAAATGGGGCTGGTGATCGCGCGGTTGACCTAGCTCAAGCTGCTTCGCTTGCCGCTTTTTTTTCATATTCATGATCTCCATGTTACAGTATTTACATTCTCTAAAAATTAGCATCAAATTATATTTAAAAAATATATTTCTTGCCAAGACCGCATTTCTACAAGTGGTCGCATGCTAACCCGTCCATAATTTAAAAGGTGTGGTTTCTATAGGGTTGCAACCTTAAACAATCCAATTAAGGCGTACCTCCAAATTTTATCATAAAATGTAATCTTAGTTTAAAAAACTCTTAGGATTATCTCAAGGGAAAAGTTTATATAGAGCTGAGGCTCTAAACGATCAAATTAGAGCCCACCTTAAAAATTTGACTAAAAAATGTTGTTTTGATGCCCCAATATTATCAAATTGATCATCTTGATATCAAGATGCATGGACATGAGAAAAAAATGGATATCAAGTGTTGGAAATAGTGCGTAACACATTTTTTTACAAACAATTTTCAAGATTTTCATAGATCTGCTCAATCAACACTATTTTTTAATCTCTAAATTTATAACTAAAAATAAAAATATATTCTAAGGCTATCACAAAGATTTCCAATATTGAAACCATATTTTTTGACACTATTTGAAGGTGGGCTTTACTCTGATGTTCTAGAGCATGGCTCTATACAAACTGCACCCTTATCTCAAAATCTATTTTCATATCTAATTATAAATTTTTAAACTCCAAAATTGGTTAAAATCTAATAGATCTATAAACATATGAAAATCTTGAAAATTGATGATTTAGATAATGTATTGCAAGATGTACTATTTTTGGGACTCAAATTTTTTATTTTTTTTCAGATTCATACATCTCGATATCAAGATGATCAATTAGAGGTTTTTTCAGCATTAAAAAACCTTTTTTCATGGAGTTTTGAGGTGTATTTGTAATTCTACATTTTAAGGTTGCAACCTTTTATAAACTTTTTCCTGATTTAAATAGACAATTTAAATAGTGTATTGTGTAACACATTTTTGGACCGTCAATTTTCAAGATTTTCAAATTTTCATATATTGTTGGGCCTTCTCTATTATTTTTTCCTTTTTTTTTTCTTTTTTTGACAAGAGTACTTACTTCTTATTGACTAAATGGGAATTACAAATTGGGGCATTTTCCTCTCCCATCCAAGCAGCATCCACCCTCTCTTTAACTTCCAACAAAAAGAACCACCTCCCTTGTATCTCTGTGCTTCTTTGTCCATGAATACAGCAGTGAGTCATCGCGTAGTCTGCACCTACATCTCTCTTTTCGACTCCCAGGTTGGACGGCCGTCGCCAACTCATGTGTGCTTTTATCTTCGCTTGTTAGTCTTATATTATCTTCTCTTTTTTTTTTTTTTTTTTTTTATTTATTTATTTATTTATTTTTTTTTTTTATAAGCTTACATAGGAATGGAACTTGAGAGGTAGCGCCATGAAAATCCAGCTACTACCGTCTGAATCCATGCCGAAATCCTAATCTTATATTATTCATGTTTGTTTTTTTTTTTTAAATGGTAACCTCTTTATAAAATAGACCTTCTTTGAACGGTTCAGGTTTGTGTATGCTTTGGAAGATTTTATATCGAGAGACAATTTTGGATTGTCCGATATAACCATTGTCGGACAACACTTGAGGGAAATGCATTGTCTAGTAATGAAAATGTGCAATGTGCTGGAAAAATAAAAACTATTGTCATGAGGAAAGATCCCTTTGCCGGTGTTAGCAATACCGGACAGGTCAGACAATGAAGGAAAAAAAAAGGAGACTTTATGTAATATTTGGAAAAATGTAAACCATGCAGTAATAAACGTGTTAAAATAGTGTTCATATGTAAGCTTTCTTAAGGAAAAAAATAATTTCATGTTTTAAAAATAGTTTGTCTTGTAACAAGAATTACATTTCATGCTATCCAAAATCATCCACATAATGAAATCCTCGTATTACATGGGATTGAGATTGATAAAATTGAAATCCAAAAAGATTAGGACTCTTAGATATAATGTTTGGTCTTTTGAGATATATGTAACATCAATAGGAAGTTTTCTATTTAATATGGATTCCTAACCTTATATCTATGAGATGAAAGTGTAGAGAATTTGTGTGCCCTATTTGGGTCACCATATGGGAATAGTGGTTCCTCTAGAGAGAGAGAGGGGAACAATGCCTCTTATGGATAAGATGCAAGGTTTCCTCTTCGAGAAAAGAGAGGTTCTTATGGAGAGAAACATTATGATGGTGCCTCTTGCGGTCTCAAGATTGAGAAGCTTGTTTTTTAGAGAGAAGTAGTTCCCATAGAGATTTTGGGTTGTACCCCCCTTTAGTTAGAGAGAAATACATTTTTTCATTGCTATCGCGTCTCTATCTGGTGTTGTCAATAATGGTTGCCACAAGTAAAGAGAAGGTAGGGAGAGTGGTTTAAAAGAATTTGCTCGACTTGGGTTTTATCGAGATTAGAGAAGTAATTCTGTATTCCAAAATCTTTGATGTAACTTTCATTAGTATAGTGGATTTCGTGTAGCCGTTCTGAGGTGAATCATGTAAATATTTGTGTTCTTGTATATGTATTTCATGTTTTATTTCTCGTACTTTATTTGTAAAAATTAACTCGTCGAATTTAGAGTTTCCGCACACAACAAGAAGTTATTTGCAATATCTCTTTCTAAGTTTTTGAAGTATTTGTAGATTTTTTCAATTTGCACAATCTTTCAAATTTTGAATTTTTCTTAATTACTGTTGAATATGAATTTTCAAAGCATATTAAAGTTTTAAACACTAAAACTACATCCTTTAGCAAAATTTAGTTGTGCGCCTTACTTGTATCGTGTAATAAGGTGTACACCTTGTACAATCCTCAACCCTAACAAAAGCAAATAAAAACTCGACGTTGGAAAAAAAAAAACTCTTAGCCTTCCCATGCCAAATGTTGTTCAACGAATGAAAGGCATCCCATGCCAAATGTTGTTCAACGAATGAAAGGCAACCAGTCTACTACTAAACTCTCGGGCAACTCTACATGGAGTCATATCATTATCATTATGAGTGCACATCCTCTCATTGTGCAATAACACGAAATATGCAGCAGCATTAGCCCTGTGCCATACACACAGATGAAGCAGGAACTTTGTGGAATGTAGTATGTAACCATGTGAATATGAGAGAGAGAGAGAGAGTTGCGGATGAAGCATCAATTCAAAGTATGTACCATAGTGTATAATTTATACTAATGTGTATGCTTTCAATGTGAAGATATTGTTTTTATTATCTTGTAAATATGATTTACAATGGCGGATTTATATATGAATATACAGTCTTTATAACTGTTCACAGTTATGCAGTTTTTATAAATGTTCACGATTTCTACAACTGTTCAAACGTTCTCTCAAATTCGACATGATTTGACACAAAACAGTTCGAGTTTGAACAATAAGTGGCATAAAAGAACTGAGTTCGATCTACAGGTCTTCAGGTGCAAGGTGTGACTGTTAGAAGTAGTGGTCTCCATGTTCAGATTGCTTGAACAATAAGCACAGAATGTAGTGGCGGATCAACAAACAACAGACAGCCTCAAGAACAGTAGATGGCCTCAGGAACAACAGACGGCCTCAAGAACAAATGGGATCGAGTAACGAAACACTCGATCAACAACGGACAAATAGACCTTCGAAACAACCGGTATCGAGTAACGAAAACTCGATCATCTGACGAGATCGAGTAATGAAAAACTCGATCAGCACACAGGATGGAGTAACGGAAAACTCCACCATCCAATATGATTGAGTAACGAAAAACTCCATCATCAAACATAATCAAGTAGCAGAAAACTTGATCATCAACCTTAGACAGAACAGTAAACACGAATCGACAGTGAGACGGATCAAAGAGTCGAAACAATGTGGAAATATGGATAAGGCAGAATCCGGTGATGAAAAATAATGGTGCCATTTATCAAAATGGTGAAAGACAGTGCAAGATTGATGGTCGGTGAACTTTGAAAGATGGTGCAGTGATATGGAGGGACGCAGTTCAGCTCAATGTAAACGTAGGCATTTCCATTGAACTTAATGGACAAAAGGATTTGGATTTTTCAATTTTAACAAGCAAGAATTAAAACCTTTAATTTGTAGGATCAAAGAAACAGACTGGTCCACAAAGGCACAATGGACCACAAGGCAATCCCACTTTTTTTTTTAATTAAAAAATAATAATTTGTAGAAAAAACTTTTGGGTTTTGGGTTTTGCTTTGGGTTTTTAATTTGTGAAACGATACCCTACAATTCAAAACCTTCAGAGAGAGAATTGGGGAACCAGAGTAAGGGAATTCGTGGTAGGATAAGAGAGGCCATGCAACTGCATTGGGAACCCGCATTTGGGTTAGTGCTTCATCAGTTCCAGTAGATGCCTTTTGCGGCCTCGCATATTAGCAGAGAGTGAGAGGAAGGGAAGTAGAGAGAGAAATAAGACAGAGAGAGAGAGAGGAAGGAAAGTAGAGAGAGAGACTGATTTCCTGTGAAGGAAACAGAGAGGTTTGAGCGAGGGACAGTACTGAGAGAGAAACAGAAGGCCGACGATGATGATAAATTTGTCACTCCTGCAAGAAAATGAAACGAATTTTCGCTCTTCTCTTTTCTCCAGATTACTTGAGAGGCTTGAAATAGGATTTTCTCTTCTTTTATGCAGAAACCATGAGAAGATTGAAAATGGGTTTTCTCTCTCTTCTCCTAAGGACTAAGAAACTGTGGCTCCAACCTTATGAAGAGTTGTAGCAAGACTTTCAATTCTTATCATGCCCTTAACGGCCACAATCAAGCGATTCACAGTGCATCCAGGAGAAGAAATGCTCTTTAGGAGAAAACAAGAAGAGAAGGTCAGAGAGAGTCTCCTACCAAAAACCAGAGACATTCTCAGCTCTCACCCTAAAATAAAGAGATGAGTTTGAAGGGTCGCACAAGAGAGAGAAAAACAGAGGCTTACAGATAAACCTGGGCAATGTTCAGTGTATCTCAAGAACGAGAATTTCAGGAGCAAATCTTTGTCTTATCCACAAATACCAAACACCATGACAAGGAGATTTTCTAGAGAGAGAAAATATCTGAGGATGAAGATTTATCTCCTTAATGTAAATTCGATCTAGAGAGAGAAAAATAACGCGAAAACAAATTATATATCTAAATGCAAAACAAAAGATAATCTAGAGAGAGGAAACAAAATCGAGCAAATTAAGAGAGACAAAATCCAGGAAATCAAGAGAGACCAGGTTCACTGTGAAAAAAAGAGCGAAGGGAGAGAGACCTTACGAAGAACGAAGGAGAGAGACCTTAGAATGGGATGCAGAGGGCAGAACTTCTCTGTGGGGCAGATAACAGAGACAGTCGATCCATATGCGGTGGAGTCAGCGGATCCAACTGATGGCAGGGTTTTGCAGGGTGGCAATTTTAGATGTGATTTTAGAATGAAGAAAAACAAAGATTCAAATCAGGTTTCGGGGGAGAAAGAAGAAGGGGCACAGCAGGAGAGAAAGAAGAAGGGCCCAATGGTTTTTTTTTTTTTGTCTTTTTATTTTTTTTAAGTTGTAGAGAGATAATGGCCGAAATTGCAGAGAAAAAAAGATGGGAACAAAGAGAATGAACAGGCTTTTTGATTGATTTTGCGATAGAGCAGCAGCAACAGATTCGGGAGAGAGAGGAGGGAGAGATTCATCATGATGATGAGAGAGAAAGGAAAGGAGAGAAAAGATGGGACGTCTTTGACGGATCACGTCTCTAGGCTTCGCAGATCGATTGAGAAGTCCATGAAGTTTTACATAATACAGATTAGAGAAACTAGAAGGCCCAAAGAAGACCGCAATAACCCTATCTCTGATATCATGTGAAGATATTGTTTCTATTATCTAGTAAACTTCATTAACAATAACGAATTTATACATGAATATACAGTTTTTATAACGGTTTACAGTTGTACAATTTCTATAACCGCTAACGGTTTCTATAACTGTTCACATTCAACACACACAAACTTAGAGGTAGGTAGCAATGAGAGAATTTAGAGAAAGTGAGAGAATTTAAAAGCATGTATCAATCAAGAGAGAGAGAGAGTACGTGAGAGGAATACCTTGAAGTCTTCTATGGACATTGCGTGAAAGGACGAGGCTTGGATGCCATTTTCCTTTGGACTGATCCTTTGCTTTGCTTGCTTTTTTGGTTCGGGGGTATTTAAAGTTGCATGCATTCAATTTGGACCTATAAATTTTCTCAACTGTCTCTCTGACTCAAATAAATTAATAGAAACATTACCGAAAATACCAAACTCAGCGTCTGGGCAGATAGCTGTCGTAGTCCCCTTTCCCATTCAAGTATTCGAACACCGCCCACGAGAGTGTACATGTTTGGTTACATGAAAAATAGGAGAATAAAATGACAAGAAAAAGTGTGGCAAATAAATTAAAAAGAATTTATGCTATGAGACCATTTATTTTTATTTATTTTCGAGAGGAGATACTATGAGATCATTTTTCTTTCTTACAAGAATGTTACACTCACTCATACCTATTGGATGTCAATTTGAATGGCTTAGGGTTTATAAGAAAGTTCGAGAAATCTTTATTTGAACTTTGAGTTTAGTCAATGATACGGTCATAACCACCCAACTTGAAATTTGAATAACAAGAGTGATTGTGACTTCCTTGTGTTAAAAGCAAACAATTTCTCTGTATACTTTTCCTAAATACTACAATGACACGTGATTTATATGATTCACCCTAAAGGGCTACATCTAAGTTATCGATAAGTATAAATTCGCTTTCCTATTGAATATTACAATTTTAGAATACAAGATATATACGTTTCTCTAAATATATGTGAAATATTAGTTGATCCTTCCTTTTAAACTGCTCTACTGGCATAACACCTCCGATCATCAAATTTAGAATACAAGATATATACTTTTCTCTAAATATATGTGAAATATTACTTGATCTTTCCTTTTAAATTGCTCTACTGGCATAACACCTCCGATCAACTTTATCTTTCTCAACAGTACACCGCTTTTGAAAATTGGAACTCGAGATCAACAATGGAACTTTGTTCTATCTAGGCTGATATCTTGGATCACAAAAGCGTTGAAAAATTGGTGGGTGAAATGGGGGCAAACGATGGTACGACTTTGAAAAATTAGAAGCTTGAACTCTTTGTGTTTTTGGGCATGCAGGAGCATTGTCTCAAGACAATATTTGCCCCCCTTCGATATTTAATTTGAGAGGTCACTTTGATGCCCTCACCCTCGAACACATAAGTGCTCGGCAAATGCACTATCATTCTTTCCTTTTTACTAAGAGCATAATGCATGAGAATGTGTACTCTTAAATACAACTAAAAAAACTCTCTCCTCTTCAATGTGGGACTCAAACCCATAACGTTCTCTTCTACAAAACAGTCTAGGAAAGAACCATGAAATCATATTGTTGTTTTGAAATGCACACAAGTATTTTTTAAACACTAACATAAGGACCTCAAAATGCTAACATAAGGACCTCAAAGGCCATGTATTATATCTTCATTAACCCCCTTAAATAGAAATCATTACAATTTCTTTCTTGCTTTCAATTTTGCATTATTGAAGCCACATTTCTTGACACTATTTGAAAGTAGGCTCTAATTTGATTTTTTAGAGCCTAGGCTTTATACAAACCGAACCCTTTAGAAAAACGTAGAAATGTGGTGATTTTGGCTATAAACTGACCTAACAATGTAGGGGGCTGATGGAGATTTTGAGTTGTTTCCCTTTTAGTTAGAGAGAAACTCAGTTTCTTGTTGCTCTCGTGTCTCTATCTGGTGTTGTCGGTAATGGTGGCTAGAAGTAAAGAGAATGAAAGAAGAGTGGTTTAAAAGGGTTTGCTCAACTCAGTTTTTGTCGAGGTTAGAGAGGTAACTCTGTTCTAAAATCTTTGATGTAACTTTCATTAATATAGGATATTTTAGTTTATCGTGCCCGTGAATGTAGCCCTTTTAGAATGAACCACCTAAATATTTGTGTTTTGGTGTATGTGTTTCATGTTTTATTTCTTGTACTTTATTTTCAAAAATTAACTCATCAGGTTTAGAGCTTCCGCACACAACAAGAAGTTATCTGAACTATCTCCTCTTAAGCTTTTGAAGTGTTTGTAGATGTTGTCCATATGGGCTATCTTTTAAATTTTGAAGTTTTCTTAATTACTGTTGAATATGAATTTTCAAAGCATTTTAAGGTTTTCAACACCAAAACTATATCCGTCGGTCAAATTTAGTAGTGCGCCTTACTTGCATGTAATAAGGCGTACACCTTGTACAATGCTCAACCCTAACAAAAGCAAATAAAAACTTGACCTCGAAAAAAAAAAGAAAAAGAAAAAAAAAACTCTTGGTCTTCCTATGCCAAATGTTGTTCAACGAATGAAAGGTATTCAGTCTAATGCCAAACACTCCGTCAAGTCTACATGGACTCATATCATTATCATTACGAGTGCACATCCTCTCATTGTGCAAAGACACGAAATATGCAGCAGCATTAGCTATGTGCCACACACACAGATGAAGCATGAACTTTGTGGAATGTAGTATGTAACCATATGAATATGAGAGAGAGAGAAAGAGTTGCAGCGGATGAAAGCCTCAATTCAAAGTATGTACCATTGTGTAAAATTTATACCAATGTGTATGTTTTCAACACACACAAACACAGAGGTAGGTAACAATGAGAGAGAGAGAGAATTTAGAGGCATGTATCAAGAACGAGAGAGAGAGAGTTTAGAAGCATGTATCAATCATCAGAGAGAGAGAGAATTTAGAGGCATGTATCAAGAAAGAGAGAATTTCAGAGAGAGTGAGAGAGAGAGAGTGAGAGGAATACCTTGAAGTCTTCTCCCATGGCCATGGCGTGAGAGTACGAGGCTTGGATGCCACTGTCCTTTGGGCTGATCCTTTGCATTGCTTGCTTTTTTGGTTCAGGGGTATTTCAAGTTGCATGCATTCAATTTGGACCGATAAATTATCGCAACTGTCCATGATTCAAATAAATTAATAGAAACTGTACGGTAAATACCTACTCAGTCTCTGGGCAGATTGCTGTAGCAGTCCCCTTTCCCATTCAATTATTGGAACCCGCCCACGAGAGTGAGATTACAATGACAAGAAAAGTGTGACAAATAAATTAAGAAGTCGGAGCATTTATCTTTCTAACAAGGATGTTACACTTACTCATAGCTATTGGATGTCAATTTGAATTGTTTGGGTGTGTAAGGAAGTTCGGGAAATCTTTTTTTGAACTTTGAGTTTAGTCAAGAACACGGTCAAAACTACCCAACTTGAGATTTGAAGAACAAGAACGATTGTGACCTTCTTGTGCTAAAAGTAAAGGATTTCTCTATATACTTTCCTAAATACTACAATGATGACTGAGTTACATGATTCATCCTAAAAAGGCTACATTCATGTTATTGGCAAGTAGAAATTCACTATCTTCTTAAATATAACAATTTTAGAATACAAGATATATACTTATATACTTTTTTCAGAACTCCTCCGATCAACCTCCCATTTCTCAACACTACACCACTACAACACTTTTGGAAATAAACCTCCCATTTCTCAACACTACACCACTACACCACTTTTGGAAATAGGAACTTCAGATCAACAATGAAAATTTGTTCTTTCTAGGATGGATGCTGAAATGGGGGCAAATGATGGTACAATTTGGAAAATTTAGAAGCTTGAACTTTGTGTATTATTCCCCCGTTCGATATTTAATTTGAGAGGTCCCTTTGATGCCCTCGCCCTCGCACATGGATGGACTATTATTCTCTCTTTTGTACAAGAGTATGATGCATGGGAATGCGTACTCTTAAATACAACTAAAAAAACTCTCTTCTTCAATGTGGGACTCAAACCCACAGCTTTCTCTATCGACAAAATAGTTTAGGAAAGAACTAGAAAGTCATATTGTTTTTTTGAAATACACAAGTATTTTTCAAACCAAATATACTAACATAAGGGCCTCAAAGGTCAAGTATTATATCTTCATTAACCCCCTTAAATAGAGATCATTACGATTTCTTTCTTGCTTTATGAGAAAACCCATTTTTCCTTTTTATCTAAAAAACCTATAGTTCCCTCTATCTTTTAGAAAAGGGAAAAGTTTATATGGAGCCAAAGCTCTAAACAATCAAATTAGAGCCTACGTCAAAATTTTCACCAGAAGAGGTTGTTTGGGTACCAAAATATCCTCAAATTCATCATCCTGACTCGAGATGAATGGACATGAGAAAAAAAATGGATTTCAAGTTTTTGAAATAGTGTATTTTGGAATGCATTATTAGACAATCAATTTTCAAGTTTGAAGTTTTTATAGATCTATCGATCTACACTATTTTTGAAGCTTTAAATTTTATAAATAAAGATGAAAATATATGTTAAGGCTATCACAAAAACTTTCAGTATTGAAACCACATTTCTTGACACTATTTGAAGGTAGGCTCTAATTTGATTGTTTAGAATATATCCTCTATACAAACCGCAACTTTTAGAAAAACGTAGAAATTTGGTGATTTTGGCTATAAACTAACCAAACAATGTAGGGGGGCTGATGGAGATTATTTCGCCCAAATTCAAAACATGCATTTTTTTGGTCCCTCTATCATAAAATATCGTTAAAATAACCCTTGAAAATTGTCTTTTTTGAACTTGATGATCACATCGTTATATCATTTGGGTTAGACATATCTCTTAAATAGATCAATCCATCACAACGAATTTTTTCCAAAGATAGATTGCCCACATTCATTATATGCTATCTTTTGTCAAACAAATCATTTTCTAGTTTTTTGGAGAAATTTATTAAAATACACATCCTTTTTCAAATATGCAATATTTTACCCATTTTCTACTCTTCAAAGTCAAAATCTGCATAGTGATGGGCATTTTAAAATTAAATTAGAACGGGTAAAATTTTGAATAGCGAACATCCTAGGTGTATTTTGACAAATTTCCTTTTTTTTTTTTACTTTCACTAATGTTGAATAGAGAACATCTTTGGTGCATTTTGACAAATGTCCTTCTTTCTTTTATTTTCACTTTCTCATTTTTTGTGAGAGGAACTGAACTTGGGTGAAACAAATGCCCTTTACAGTGAGCCTTAGCAGCAGAGGCATATCCTATTTTAGTCCGTCTCTGCGGGGGCCAAATATTTCCTCATGGCTGAATTAAACATTACTAAAATCTTACATAATTCATAACTAAATGAAGGGTGAGGTTTTGTATAAGTTGTCCATCTTACAAAATGCACTATGCAATTAAGGCGTATCTCTAAACTTTGTCAAAAGATGTAGTTTCAATGTCAAAAGCCATATGATGGTTTGAATATCCATGTTCTACCATAATTATGAAATTCAAAGCTCTTAAAAAATTATATCGAGTATATCTATAAACACTTTAAAATCTTGAAAAAACAATAGTCCAAATAACCCATTACAAGATATACTATTTTGAGGATTTCGAATTACATTTTTTATTTGTATCCATATATCCTGAAAGCGAGATGATCAATCAGAAAAGGTTTTCCTACTTTGTAATACTCTTTCCTGCTGAATCTTTTAAGTGCACCTGACTTCTACAATATTAAGATGTAACCGTATATTAAGCTTTTCTATAAGTCTTCAATATAAAGATGTAACCGTCTATAAAGCTTTTCTGTAAGGGTGCGGTTTTTATAAGGTTGCAACCTCAAACAATCCAATTAAAGGCACCATAGAATTTTATCATAACATGTAATTTTGTTGAAATTTTTTTTTAGTATTATCTTAAAATCTATTTTCTACCGGATTAAAAAATTTTAAAATCCAAAAATAGTTAAAATCAAGTAGATCTATAAATACGTGAAAAAAATGGATGCTATAGATAATATGTTGCAAGATGTACTACTTTCGAGACTTGAAAACTTTTTTTTTTTTCATATTCATTTATCTCAATATCGAGATGATTGATTAGAAGGTTTTTTTAACATTAAAACAATATTTCCGATAGATTTTTAAGTTGCATCTGTGATTCTACATTTTAAGGTTGCAACCTTATTAAAACTTCTCCCTTTCTATAAATCAACTGTCGTAAATTTACTGACAAGAGTCATGATAAATGAGGTATGGGGATAGGCTAACTTTGGGGTGCTTAACTTACCTTTTCGAGTCCATGGGATTATCCCTTCTTCACCTTTAGAATTCATAAAGGGAGCCATCTGTTTACCTTTTCTTCAAACTAATATCTTGGGTGACCCCTAATAAGAAAGAAAATTATCGTGATATATTGTAACCTGTTTTCATATCCATACAGATGTAATCAAATACTTAATTGAGTCAATCATGTTTCTATATCCATACCGATATAATCAAATCTTTAATTGAGTCAATCAAGATAAGTACATAACTATAATAAATAGAACCCAGATCTTTTTCTATAGGTGTGGAGAATTTTACATAAATATTATCCTCTAAATTTCTTCATGGTATCAAATAAGTAAATAACTATTATAAATAGAACCCATATCCCTAGGGTGTGGAGAATTTTATACGAATATTGTCCTCTAAATTTCTTCATGGTGTCATCTTCCGTTCAAGTAAATTACATTCTCTTTAATCTTTAGTTCAAGTAAGTTGCATTTTCTCTCAATTTCTTCATGGTATCATCTTCCGTTCAAGAAAATTACATTCTCTCTAATATGTAGTTCAAGTAAGTTGCATTTTAGAGTCTCTAAATATGTCAACGTTTTGGAGAGTCTAAATCTTTAGTTCAAGTAAGTTACATTCTTGGTAA